CTAGTACGAATTCCATCCACGTTTCATGCAAATTGATACGCTGTAAACTCGGGTGCGCGCTGGTTCACTTCCATAACTTCTAGGTGCACCCTCTGGGATATGACGCCTTTTTTCAAGTGGGGTGGCGGATTGCTTGCATGCACATCATGCTTCGTCACCCTGGCGAAGATAGCGCGGGCCGCGTCATGTTTACCTCGTGGTAGCGTCATACTGAAAAAACAATCCGTTCGACAACTTCACGCCAGTTAACCAAGCGACGGCAACACAGGGAGTGCGCAACCCTCCTCGCCGCCCCGGGACAGCCGCAACTGAGAACCGCCACTCCCCCGACGGCTCTCCAAACGACTGCGATGCCGACGACGACGACGACAACGACGACGACGGCGACGGCGACGGCGACGACGACGACGACGACGACGACGACGACGCTGCCGTCGACTGCGGCGACGGCGACACTGGCGGCGACCCTCTTGGCCGCCACCGCCGACATATTCAGCACTGCTGTGCCACGCCCCGCCCCGCCCGCTCCCGCCGAGTGGATTCGGCACCGCGGCGCTCGCCGCTTCCGGTTCCGCGCGCTCCTCCGTCAGGGGCCGGGCCTCTGCGGGCGGGGCCCGCCGCGGGGCAGGGCCAGCTGATCTGCTGGGAGGCCGAACCAGTGGACCGGGCGGACAAGAAGCTGGAGCTGAGCCCTGGCCCCGCGCGTGGACGGCAGGTTCGTGTCGTGACGACCCCGGCGCTGGCTTTTTTAACACATCGTGGGTCGCTCGGCGCTGACAGAACCGGCGGCGTGTGGATCGTCAAAAAGTTCCGTGTCAACAGATTCTCAACCACTGGCGGCGTTCAGCCTGGACCGCCCTCGGCAGGATCGTTGCCGCGTCTGGCCGACACGAACCTGCCGCGATCATTTGCGCCCCGCGCGTGACCAACCTCATCCAATTTCGGGCGAACTTGCACTATACTCGGAACCCCCATTTGCGCAAAACTGCGCGTCTGGCTCACGTGCTGTCTGACAACTCCGGAAAAAAAGGCCACAAATGCTGGGACACATGCGAGACGAATCTAATGATCTGCACATGTCGGTATACATTCCCCAAAACTTACTTGGACTTAAGGGGTTCTCATTTGCGTTCCGTGGAACTCGGTCTGGCAGTTATGTAATCGCCGTCGGCGCCCCGCCGACGCATCGTCACGGCCCGTCGTCTGGGCCAGGGGATCGATACGGCGGATGTGTGGCCGCCGTCGCCGCCGCGTCGCCGCCAGTCGCCTGGGCCTGAAAGCTAGATTGGCAGCTACGGTGTCGCCTTACACGCCCCGTCGCCATCTCACCGCCATTGATTGCACAACGTAAACTGCACGCGCAAATTTTACAGCACAATACTTGTTTTGTAATCCGTCAAAGAATGTTCGCCAACGCGCACCCCAAACCGTGGTTCTAGCAATCATTGATGTGATTTCTACGCGGTGCAATTTACGTGGTATGAAATATTCGTCTTGTACAAAACATGCGTTGTGCAACATGCCCAGTGCACTCTTCGTTGTGCAACCTACGTTGCGTGACCCACGTTTTGTGAAACCAGCGTGGAGCAACTTACGTGGTGGAACCCATGTTGCGTAACCTGTGTAATTATGCATTGTACAACTTTTGTGGTGTGACCAAGCGGGCCTCCCGTGTGCACGTGTCGAAATCAGTCGAACGCCTTTGCGCGCGTGCTGGGGGGGATGATCCCTCTCAATATGCGGGTCACTTGCGCGCGCCGGTCGCGCGCGCATGTCGAAATCGTTCCAACATTTGCGTCGCCGACACGTACATGGACACCATCATCGTCATCGACATGATCAGCATCGGCGCCGTCATTGGCCTTGCCGTCGGCATTGTCATCATCGCCACCACCATCGTTAGTGCCATCATCGTCGCAATAGTGCCGCGCCGGCGCGCTGGGGAGTGCCCGGCGGTTAGCGCCACCGCGGCCGCGTCGGTCGGGCCAGACTACATGGCTTCTCTGCGCGCCAGCTTGCGCGCTGTAGCGCGGATGCAACGATGCGCCAGCCAGCGCCAAGCACTCTCCGCAATCGCCGCCGCATGGGTTGTGCAAGCCAATTTGCGGGTGGGTGGGTGGGCTTATTGCGGGAACAGTGGAATTGACAACTTCAAGTTTGGCAGGGCGTCTTGCAACGCAGCGCAGGCACCACATCGATTGCGCAACATAGTCTGAACAACATAGACTGCACCACACAGATTGCACAACATAGGTTGCGCGACGATGGCTTGCACCACACTGATCGCGCCGCGTAGACTCTCTTGTATGAAATAAAAAACCAAGGTCGGCCCCCCCGGGAATTAGTTGACGAACCCCTTTTTCGTATCGCACTTTGCATTTGCTTCTGCCCCCTCGTCCACCCGATATCGATATATATATATATATATACATATATATATATGAACTGATATCATCCGAGGCACCTGGCCACCCTGGCCCTGGCACCGCGCCGCCTTGGCGTGCGGACCCGCTTCCGGGCACCCGCACCGGCCCTTTGGCCTCAGTTCTGCCGCCCCCCACATACAGTCCCCACCTGGTCGCTGCATCGACGGGTGACCCGCGCGCTGGGGTAGAGTAGAGAGAGGGAGACGTCAGGGGGAGGGGGAGGGGGAGGAGGAGGAGGAGGGAGAGGGGGAGGGAGGAGGAGGAGGAGGAGGAGGAGGAGGAGGAGGAGGAGGAGGAGGAGGACTCAATGCTCAGACAGCTCACCACCCACGCTGCCTCGCGGGCTGCTGCCGCCCCACCCGTCGGGCGCCACTCGCAGGCGGAGCGCTCCCCTCCTCCCTTCCCTTCGCCCCTCTCACCTTCTTCCCTCCCTCCCCTCGCGCCGCGATGGCGCCGCCGCGCTGCTTCGCCCTCGGCGCGCACCTCAGCGCCCCCCCCACTGGTGCCGCCCCGGCGCGACGCCCAGTCCCTGACGCGGCTGCGGTGCTGGCGCAGCGCAGCGGGCACCGCACGATTGATGCACCTGGTGGGTCCAGCATTTTGCGGATGACAATCCTCAGGCTCCAGTGCTGGTTCTACTTGCTCTTCGCCGCAACCGCGCCTTGGCAAAGCCCGCGGGCGCACCCTGGCCCAGGCCCCGGCTGCTGCCGCGGTCCCCGCTGCCCTTGCTGGACGCTCCGGCTCGCTCACCGCGGAGCCCTTCCACGTCTGAACGCCTCCCTCCTTCCCCACCCGCGCTGCCGCTTCCTCTCCTCCTTCTCGCTCTCTTGCACGCCAGACGAATTGCCGATCGACGCCAGCGATTAGCCCCACGCTGGCGCGGATCGTCTTTGCCTCGCCACCGATGGAAAAATTGAGAATCGCGGCATTATGCTGCACGATCCTTCGAGGCTTCAAGTTTGTCCCCCGGAATCCGGAGAGAGAAAAAAAACTTGTTTAGTTCGCTTCTCCGTGACACCAGCGTCTAAATCGTTGCGAGTACTGTTGGCTGTTGACCCCCTGCTCTCCGGGAGCGCGTTGACATGGGCCTGAAGCTCCGTCAACTTGTCCTCCATGTCGTTCACCTCCTGGCCAGGTTCTGAGTCCTTGAGAATATGTCCTTCGTGGTGTACGTGTCCGCACAGTCCGCCATGATGCCGTCAACGTCGATCTTGATCTCCTCCAGTTCGGACCTGGTCTCCCCGATCGCCTCCGTAGCCTTCTCGGCGTGCTTTCAGACCTCCGCGGTCGCCCGCCCTTTCTGCACGGAGTCCTGAGAGACCTTGTCGAACTCCTTAGTCTGCCTCTCTTTGAACTGTTTAAAGCACGGTGGCACCTGCGAGCCCGCAGCTTTCACGCCGTCGGCATCTGACAAGAAATCCACATCCTCATCCTAGCAATGCAAATGCCTGCTCGTCCTGACCTTTTTTTCTCAGAGGTGTACACTTAGCAGGAGTGCATTGCCATGCATCTTCGACTGCCCCGAACTGCTCATCGTGTGCATGGATCAACAGCAGTTCTTCTTAGATAGAGCTGCTGCTGGGGGCATCCCTGAAGTTCACGACCACCAGGGTAACACTTGCATGAAACTGCACGGATGGGGGCGGTTTCTTCTTCGACAAGGGGACCTCGCTGGACACCTCGCTGAACTGTGTATGCGTGCTTCCCTTCTTTAATACGCGCCAATAGGGTGCAAGGCAACGCATGTTCAAAGCGGGGCACTCGCCAGAATGGGAGGCCCAGCTGCGCCGGTCGCCCACGGGGAGCGCTGCTTGCTGTGAAAAGAAAGACTTGTGCGAACGTATGAGGATGAGGACCCGGGACGGGAGGGTGCATCGCAGCATCATGCATGTGTCCTTCTCCTCCTCCTACTCCTACTCCTCCTCATCCTCATCCTCATCCTCATCAGCATCAGCATCAGCATCAGCATCACCATCATTATCATCATCAGTATCATCATGATCATCATCATCATCATCATCATCATCATCATCATCATCATCATCATCATCATCATCATCATCATCATCATCATCGTCATCGTCATCGTCATCATCAGCAGCAGCAGCATCAGTAGCATCATCATCAGCATCATCATCAGCATCATCAGCATCATCATCAGCAGCATCATCAGCATCATCATCGGCATTACCATCAGTATCAACCTCCTTCCTCTTCCCCCCTCCTCTCCTCCCCTCCCTCTCCCCCCTCCTCCCCGTCCCCCTGCTCTTCCGCCCCCGCCCCCACCCCTGCATACCTCGCTCCCTGCTCCCCCTCCCTCCCTCCCTCTCCGTCCTCCCCTCCTCCCTCTCTCTCCGTCCCCCCCCCTCTCCCTCTCCGTCCGTCCCCCCCCCGATGGAGGCCACCGCGCCCCACGAGCGGCCTCGTCGTCGGCCGCCGCGCCCGCGGGCGCCGCCGCGGAAGCTGCCGCCGCAGCCTCCGCCGCGCGGCCGGCCTCGGCCTCGGCCTCGTCGCCCTGGAGGAGGTGCGCCTGGGAGCGGCCAGCCGGGCGGAGGGGCCCGGCCTCCGCGGCGCGTCTCCAGCCCCCCGGGGCCGGCCGCATGCAGGGGCGGAGGCCGTGAGGCACCAGCTCCGCCTCCTGCGCGGCCTCCCCCCGGGGCCCGCACCCAAATCTCCGACGACCTGGCGCCGCCCATCCCGGCCTGGCTTCGACTGCGGCCTCTGGGGCACGTCATCGGGCCCCTGGGCGATCAGAAGCGGGCCTGGGGCGAGACGCTCGCAGTGGGGAGAGGTTCGGGCATCTGGGGCTGCGGATTGACAAATCATACCTCGTCGAATGTCTGGGTACCCTACCCTCCACCCCCCATCGCGCTGCACACATCGGGCCCCCCAACGGACCACCCAGAGCACCCGACACACGCGCACCTGCAGGCACCGAGGGAGGGGGGGCAAGCCGAGCGGCTATCGGCATGGCATGTTCCAACGTGTTCGTGGTGCCCCAGCCGCCCGGCTTGCTGGCAGCCCCCAGCGGTCGCTCGCGGCAGACGGATCCAGCGGCCATGGGCCCAACGGCCGAGACTGCCAACACAGTTTCGTCCCCCCCCCCCGACACCCCCCGCACCCCACACATCCTTCACCGTCTATCCTCCTATCCTCCTCCCTCCTCCCTTCTCCCGCTTCCCCCTGCCCCGTCCTCTTCCTTCCCCCCTCTCACCTCCTCTTCCGTATCCTCCTCCTCCTCCTCCTCCTCCTCCTCCTCCTCCTCCTGGTCCTCCTCCTCCTCCTCCTCCTCCTCCTCCTCCTCCTCGTCCCCCATCGCGCGCCCTGGAGCACCGAGCTGCCTCGGCAGCCGCAACGAAACACGTGTTCCACGTGCAGCGCAGCATCCCCCGCCCACCGCAGCTGTTGCAGGGCCCCCGCTCCAAAATGGGAGGAGGAGAAGGAGGAGCGCGGGCAGCAAGTCGGAGGAGGAGGAGGAGGGGGAGGACGACGATGGGAATCATGAGGAGAAAGAGGAGGAGGAGGAGGAGGAGGAGGAGGAGGAGAAGGAGGAGGAGGAGGAGGAAGACGAGAACATGGAGGGTAAGGAAGGGAAGGAGGTGCGCAACTGTGTCATGCATGTCAGGCTCGACCCCTGGCTGGGTTGGTCGCCCCTCGGATAACGCGTCCATCAGGGTTTTAGTGTGCTTGGTGTCCAGCTTGAGAAATACATACAACGAGCTCGGAGAACCCCAACCCAAAGAGGGATACCCTTCTAATGCTGCGGGGGGAAAAGACTCCTAGGTTGGGCCCTCGGGCAACGCGCCTCTGGCGGAGTCATGGTATTCTTTCTTCGGTGTCGTCGATTGAGACTGAAGAGGGGAAGGCGGCTGCACCTCTGGCCCCGGCGAGTCGCATCGAGCACCATTAGCCCTGCGTCATCGCATGGCGCCCCAGCTCTCAGAACACACGTGCCAGTCGCACCGGTCGTTTGGCTTTGCTTCGGGGCTGATAAAGTAAAAGGCAATACTAAGGGCAACACCAACTCAACCCAATTGCGTCGGAGGGAAGGCTATGCCGGCTTTGGTCGTTGACTCTCGCTGGGATGACACTCCCGTCTGGGCTGTATCACAGCTTCGCTTCGCTATTCAATTATATCTGTAGTGTTGCTGCTTGGCGCCTCAGTTCTGCCTGCAGCTGCCGGCGACGCCCCTGCGGCGACAATCACCACCAAAACGAGATGCTGTCGGCCACACGCCGTGCATCGTCGTGGGTGGGCGGCTCTGGCAAGGCTCGCCCTGCTCACCGCCGTGCCAGGGCGAGCCCGTGCTCGGGCTGAGCCGCCCCCAGCCCAACTGCAGGGGGGCCCGTTTCAGGACAACGGTCCGCCGACCACCCTCTTTCTGCTGGCCCTCCCCCGTTCTCTGACTTCGGCCGACCAGTGAGCCCCCGCCGTCGTGAGGGGATACGGAGACGGAGAGGGAGGAGGAAAGGACTTGGGTGGCCATGCGGCGAACATGCCTCCAAGATGGCCTGGCCCCCCACAGGACTACACGTCGTTCATTTCTAATCGTGCTCAATTCTAATTGTGCTCGTTTCTAACTGTTCCTGGCCCCCTAGTGGCCAGGAAGAGGCCCAGGATAGAACGATTAGAAATGAAAGGATCTTGGCCCCCCAAAAAGCCCAAGAACTCGAATAATTAGAAATGAACAATGTGTACGTGCACACAGCGCACAGATTCAGAATTGCGCCGCCACGCCATCGAAGGCCAACACGGAGGCGAAACCTCAAGGACTTTACGTAACGCCGTCTTGCTCTTGGGAGAACCAATCCCCGTGACAGCTTGGAGGCCTGGTCGCTGACCGCCCAGGGGAGTCCGCCAAAGACCACGGAAAGGCCAGTGCGCGCTGATGCTCGCATCCTGCGGCAGCGCGGCCCGCCCGTGGAAACCGCGCCCTGCCTCGTTCTAGCCTTTGCTCGCGTGCGCTCCCTGGCAATTGGCCGACACCGATCGTCGACGCTGCTCGTTCGACCCCACCGTCGTCGACGCTGTTCGTTCGATGCTGCACCGTCGGCCATCTGGCTCGAAGGGCCCCCGCAAGGGGGGCGCAGCGCGTGGCCCGGTCTTTCCTTCGCCCGAGGCTCGGTCAAACGCAGACACCCATCGGGGATGGACAGACCCCCCTTTGGTAAAACGCGGTTTCGTGAAAACGACCCGAGGCCCTAACCTGGCGGGCGCAGGCCTGGAAAACGACGGCCACCGCGCCCTCTCGTGAACCGAAAACGGACAATCCACTAATCGGCGTGTCACTGTTGGGGGCTCTGTCCACCCCCGAACCTCGGGCCGGGCGAAAGGGGGGGATAGCAAAAGGGGGGTTGAGAATCAGCTCACGTAGCTGGTTTCCCCGGCGCCTCCCGGCGCCGGGAGGCGCCCATGTATCGAGGAACGGGCCCCTCCGTGAGGCCGAAACCAGCTGCATGCAGCGAATTTCGTACCCCCCCCTTTCCCAATCCCCCCCTTTCGCCCAGCCCGAGGGGTTCTGCCCACCCCCGAACCGTGCATCCAAAGGCGTGGACGCCTCGCGCCTGCCTCCACCGCCCGCCGCCGAGCTCCCGCCGGCCTCCGCGGGCGGAGGCCCGCCGCCATCTGACTCCTGCCGGCCATGAGTCGGGCCTGCCCTGCTGCGGGGGGGACTCTGGACGAAAAAAAAAATCGGCTATACGCAAGAGTGACTCTGGGTAAGAGTGACCTTTGGTGCGCGACTTTTGGGGGACCGCGGGGAGACCAAACCTGGGCGCGCAAGCCGCTGCTACCGCTTCGTTTTCAGCCATCTGAGGACCCATCTGTGCCCGCACCGAAGGTCACTCCGGCGAAAGGTCACTCTTACGTCTAGTCGAAAAAAGCAATCAAAAAATGCATATGCCCCGGAATGGTTCACAAAAATACCAAAACAGGATCGTCCCCAGCCCATCTTTGGCATAGTTGTGAGCACCCCTCCTGCAGAGGGACAGGCCCGCCTCAACGCCCGCCTCTTCGGCGGCCTCCCGCGGAGGACGCAATGCGCCACAGACGAGGCCCTGCTTGGAGCGCGAGGGGCAACGGCGGGGGGGGGGGCCGGGCCGGGCATCCCCGAGAGCCGGCCCGCCCAACTCCAGGGGGGAAACATCGAGCTGGCATCGGCGAGGCATCGCCGGCAGATCCGCGATACAGTCGTCGGCCGGACCTAAGAAACGACACGTAAGGAACGGAGCCCCTTTCTTCTCCAAGGAATAACGCATAAGGAACGATAAACGATAAATGACGCATGTGGAGCGGTAAATGACGCATGCAAGCCTAAGGAACGACCGCGGCCCTTTTGAAAAGTCAGTGTTCCTTCTTCAAGCCGCTCACTGTGTAGGCCCCCGACGGCGACTCCGCACGTTCCTGGGCGGACTGGGGGTGTTTTAGACCACATGCCAGCGATCCACGGGTCATTGGGGGTCCATGCATCCCCGCCTTGGAGCCTCTCCCTTCCTGGCGTTGCCCATGGACCTGGAGCTCCGCCTCCGCTGCCACCCTCCTCGCGCCGGATCGCTCTGGGCCCCGGCGGCCACCAACCCGGTGTCCCTCGCCGGGCACGGGCGCGCGGGGCCCACCGCAGAACGGGCACCGCGCGCCACCGCCCGCGCGGGGCATGCCTTCCGCACTGCGCGCTCCCTCCTCTCCCTCCTTGGCCTCGCCTTCCGGGCGCGGCCGCGCGCGCAGGCGGCTGGCCTCGTGCCATGAGCGCAGCACGCGCAGCCTGCTCGCCGGCCCCGCAGCACGGCGCGGCGCCGCGCCGGCGCGTCCCGATGAGCCCGGCGGCCTCCGCGACGACGGCGTGAGGGGCGACGCCTCGGCGCCACGCCTGGCGCCGAGGCCAGGGCCACATCGCACCACGGCCCGGCTCCGTTCGCCGTGCCGTACCCTTCGAGTCCTCCAGCCCTGCCGCCACGGCAGTGTGCCGCCGCCCCGCGCTGCTCTGGTGCGCCTCGGCCGCGCGGTGGCAACCCCCAGCCAGCCCTGCGCCTGCCGCTGCCGTCTGCTCCGCCTCCGCGACCGCGCGTGGACCCTCCGCGACAGCGCTCGGCACAGTCTCCACCATCGTTGCGCCAAGGGTCATGCCTCTTCGCTGCCGCGGCACGCGAGGCCCCCAGACTGCTGGGCTCGGAGCTCGGCCACGCCTGCCGTCGCCATTCCCTGGCCGGGTACACGGCGACGTTCCTGCACAGCCGCTTCAACCGGGGGAGCAGGGCGCCACGCAGAGTGACCATCATGCACGCGGCAGGGAGACCGCTTCTGAGTCCGCCACCTGCCCGCCCCCCGAAGAGCAAGTTCATGGACTGCTCCAGTGTGCGGCTTCTGCGGACAGACGCCGCACCACACGGGATCTGCGGCTTTCTGCGCCGCGGGGCTCGCTGCACCGCAGGCCGCGCGCGAGCGCCGTTACGCCCCAATGTCGCCGCCGCGCGGCGACCAACCACGGGCCACCCCCAAGAGCTGTCGGCGCACTGCACGGTCGAGCCGCGCACTGCTCAGCAGAGCTGGACACAATGAAGGGGAGGGCGGAGGGCTGCTAATAGCAGAAAGGGGGGCGGGCCCGCCTGAAGCAGCGCGGCAACAAAAAAAGCGGCAGCGCTGCCACGGCTCAGTGAAGAGGGGGAGTAAGACGGGGTTGGGCGAAGACGGCGCCGCCAAAGCGGCTGGCAGGCGTTTGCATGCGCTTGCCCTGTCGAGCCTGTGCAGCAATATCGCCGCCATGCGCTCCACAGATCGTCGGTTTGGCAGCCGCGACGGCAATCGGGCTGCACATGAGTAGATCCAGCATGCTACAGTGTGAACAATGACAACACAGAGAAGGCAGAGGTTGAGATCGAGGTACTGCTGGCGTGATTCCAGTGGCGTCCAGAAACTCGCTGATATGATGGGCGGCACCAATGTCATCCGCTAATGGTTAACACCTGAAGACTACAAGGTAGCACCTCGGTGCACTCGCTCTCGGCGGTCACGGGCGCGGATGCCACGTCAGTGGCTAGCCCATGGCAATGCGCCCTTATTCGGCAAGGCAATATGTCGAGTGCAAATGGTCACACTCGCCGCACTCAAATAGAGCCCTGGTCTGGTACAACGCGCTTGGTCTCACTGATCAATGTGTCGTCCTGCCCCCGCACTTCTGGTGTCCACACAACGAGCTCGGCGCGGACCTACACTTTCAGCGTGCGCCGAGGGAGGAACCAAACCGAGATCTACGCCGAGGAGCCCGTGATCCAAACATGGGTAACGTGGTTCGGAGAAGAGGGAGGAAGAGCAGGAGGAAGGATGCGAGGCGGAGATGTACAGGTCACAACCGCATGGGGGATCGATCTTCAGGGACCTTGGCACGCGGTGGATGTGGATATATTTGACCCCCTTCCAAGGTCCGAGTATATCCATATCAACTCCACGAGGATCGATACCCTAGGCGGTGGTGGTAGATGAATCCTACTATCGGAAAAGAAAGAAGGAAGGGAAGGAGTAGACGCAGCTCACCACGAGAGGTAGGACGACGAGGGGGAGCGGGAGGACAAAGAGGAGCCGGAGCAGAAGCTGCAACGGCGCAGGGGCATGCGTGTGAGTGGGGGGTGCTGACATTGCTCTTCTGCGTAGAACTCCTGGTGCAAATAGGCGCGATCATGCGATTCCTTTTGAAATAAACTTCTGCCATGCGAGCAATGTAAAAACATGTGCGCTGTGTGCAATGGTCTGATTGGCTGTGTCACGAAAGCACCAGGAAACGGTTCTCCATCGAGCGCGCATCGATCACTGCTGGCCTCGCTAGCCTCGGGAGCTTCTTCGTCTCCGCCATCCTCCTGCCCTTCCCGATATCTCTTCTGCTCGCCTGCGGGACCGTCCCTGCAGACCAGCAAGGAAGAACGATGCTGGCGTTCAGGTCGAAGTGCGAGCACGGTTTATGGTCCAGGCTGCCAGTGGGAACATTGAGTAGGCAACACTCCAGATAGCCACACGACATGGTTCATGTGGAGTGGCTACGTGGAGTCTCTCCAACTCGTGAACGTGCTACCCTGTCTCCTGGCACAAGCGGCGATGTAATACTTGGAACGACGCACGGCCGACAAAGTAGCCACAGACACACGCACACACACATACACACACACACACGCAACGAATCGTGCGTTCAATGCTAGGTGAGGTGAACTGGCTTGTGTGGCACTGTTGGTGTTAATTGGTTTATGTTGGGTTGCACTACATCTGCTCAGCATTCCTAAGAGTTGAACTGCGCTGTGCTGATGCGTACTGTCGGGTGTTACTTGTCTGTTCATGTTGTTACTGTGGTTTGAGCTGGGTAGATTTGCAGTGAAGTGGTTTAGCCTTGCGCTGCTTCGCATGACGTTGCATCGCGTTGCACTGCATTTCGTTGCTTTGCCCTTTTTCGCTTTGCTGATCTCTGAAACTTAGTAATATCCTCACACCCTGCGTTGTCTCACGCATCGTGCCAACCCGACTCCACGGGCCCCACTCACGGGGAGGCCGATACCGTTATTCGGGAGTCTCGAGTGTGGTTTTTTAGAAGACGGGCGGGGGAGGAGGAAGCGAGGAATCGCAGAGGAGTGGGAGGCTGCGCGAGGTGGAAGGACGAGGATGGGGGCAGGAAGAGGAGCAGGAGGCATAGGAGAGCAGTAACCCCCCTGCCTCTATTTTTTGGCCTCCTCGTTCGCTCGCCCCAGCTACAATGATAACCCTGCGTGTGGGGAACTCCGATCGGACACTGTTCCTTGGCGTTATTTTGCCCTTCAAGGGAAAGCGTAGGGTAACCTTGGAGACCGAGCCTTGAATCACTATCGCCAGGAGCCCTCTTGCATTACTAATGGGATTGAGCCCAACATCTATCACACGCCCAAGTGCCGCCCTCAATTCCAGTTATCCGCCTGCGGGAGGTCAATGGCACCAAACCAATGTGCACTTCACAACAAAATGGGCTTTGAACTCAATTGCGATGATGCCGCATCCCTCGTACTTTGCTCCTCTATAGCCAGCCTCGCACTTTCACAGCATTCCTCCCCTGGATCCTCGGACATTCTATGCACTGCAGGGCAGGTTGGCTAAGAAGGCCCAATGCTTGGGGTAAGAGAGCCGATACAGCAACAACAAGAAACATACTTCAAACCGTGTTCAATGTCATGGCGCATTCGCCAACGCCTAATCGATACAACGCGCTGCGGACGTATAACTGCATTGTATCCCCTCTTGCTCCACACTGATCCACCGCTCCAAAATTTCCAACAAGCAGACATCCCGATACTATCCATCGGGCGAGTCGCTGCGAGGGGAAATGACACAATCAGCCTGGCGAAAATTCCAACCATATGCAGCTGCGAGTAATGCAAGGTGCGACCTTCTCCTCATAGGCAGCGCGCCGCGACAAGGATGGCGCGCGGGGCGGTGCAAATGGCGGACACGAAACGCGTGAGGGGTGCGCCAAAATGGGTGTGGAACTGCATGCGGGCGCAGCCACTGGGGCCTTCGGTGGAGCTCCTTATGGGACCTCGAAGCGTGCGAGGGTGCTCTCTATGTGGCCACGAAGCGTGTGAGGGGTGCGCCAAAATGTGGGTGGAACTGCATGCGGGCGCTGCCACTGGGGCCTTCGGCAGAGCCTCCTATGGGGCCACGAAGCGTGTGAGGGGTGCGCCAAAATGTGGGTGGAACTGCATGCGGGCGCTGCCACTGGGGCCTTCGGTGGAGCTCCCTATTGTGCCACGAAGCGTGCGAGGAGTGCGCAAAGATCGGGGTGGAACTGCATGCGAGCGCTGCCACTGGGGCCTTCGGTGGAGCTCTCTATGGGGCCACGAAGCGTGCGAGGGGTGAGCCAAGATGGGGGTGGAAGTGCATGTGGGCGCTGCAGCAGGTGCCTCACGAAACGTGCGAGGGGTGCGCAAAGATGGGGGTGAAACTGCATGCGGGCGCTGCCACTGGGGCCTTCGATGGAGCTCCCTGTGGGGCCACGAAGCGTGTGAGGGGTGCGCCAAAATGTGGGTGGAAGCGCATGCGGGCGCTGCCACCGGGGCCTTCGGTGGAGCTCCATATGGGGCCACGAAGCGTGTGAGGGGTTTGCCAAAATGGTCGGCGTGCGGAGAGCAGGGGCAGGGATGGGAGGAGGGAGGGGGCAGCGGAAGTGAGTGAGGTGCTGCGGGGCGCTGTCTCGTCAAAACTAAAACCCAACACCACAAGATGGTTGGGAAAATACTTGAGGATTTCCCGCACCGCGGGGCCTCGGGGCCCCGAAACCTGGCCAGAATCGGCGCGGCGCGCCCACTCCAGCGTCCCGAGGACGATTGGGCTCGACCGGGACTTCAACTAGCGCCCACGTGCTTCCGATCATGCGTAAAGCGCATCGATCAGAAGCTGAGCGTGCTTGATGTGAGCGTGGAGGGCTCAGCCACTTGATCCTTGCAGTGCTGATCCAGGCCAGCATCTCTACAGCTGGTTGCTTGGAGTAGAAGTTAGGACCGTCTGGATCACACCACTCGGATACGAACAACGTGTGATCCACCCCCAAAACATCAGCAACCCGCCACATGTCTAGACAGGTCGCCTTGTTACACCTGATGTCAATTTGAGACCGCTCGGACGTTCTCACTCGAAAGCTAAATATCGCCAAAAAACATGAATAGCTAGTGAGGGTATCAACCATATGCAATTGTGGGTACCCAACCATATGAATTGTGAGGGAAAACAAAAAAACACTGAAGGAGCCAACCATGTGCAACCGCGAGTGCCGCCGTTGTGGGTATCGTCTTCGGTCTCGTCTACGATGGGCCACCAAATCCTATACTGGGCGGGGGGGGCGCATGCGAATTTTGGCACTGAGGCCTTCGGTGTTCCGTGGGCCACGAAGCGCTGTACTGGGTGGGGGAGACGCATGTGGACACCGCCACTGGGGCCTTCGGTGGAGCCACCTATGGGGCCTTCGGTGGAGCCACCTCTGGGGCCACGAAACACTGTGCTGGGTGGGGGGAGACGCATGTGGACACAGCCACTGGGGCCTTCGGTGGAGCTCCCCATGGGGCCACGAAATGTTGTACTAGGTGGGGAGACGCAAGTGGAGACCGCCACTGGGGCCTTCGGAAGAGCTCCCTATGGGGCCACGAAGTGGTGTACCGGGAGGGGGAGACGCACGTTGACACCGCCACTGGCGCCTTAGGTGGAGCTCCCCATGGGGCCACGAAACACTGTACTGGGTGGGAGAGACGCATGTGGACACCGCCAATGGGGTCTTAGGGGCAGATCCGTATGGGGCCACGAAACGCCGTGCTAGGTGGGGGGAAACGCATGTGGACAACGCCACTGGGGCATTCACTGGAGTTCCCTATGCGGCCACGAAACGAAACGCTGTGCTGGGCGGGAGGGACGCGTGGACACCGCCACTGGGGCCTTAGGCGGAGCTCCCTATGGGGCCACGGCGCGTCGTGCTGGGTGGGGGGACGCATGTGGACACCGCCACGGGGGCCTTAGGTGGAGCTCCCCGGGTGGGGGAGACGCATGTGTACACCGCCACTGGGGCCCAAGGTGGAGCTCCCTATGGGGCCACGAAATACTGTGCTGGGTGGGGGGAGACGTCTGTGGACACCGCCACCGGGGCATTCAGTGGAGCCCCCTATGGGGCCACGAAAGGCTGTACTGGGTGGGGGAGACGCATGTGGACAACGCCACTGGGGCCTTCGATGTAGCTCCCATGGTGCCACGAAACGCTGTGCTGGGTGGGTAAGACGCATGTGGACACCGCCACGGAGGCCTTAGGTGGAGCTCCCTATGGGGCCTCGAAACGCTGTGCTGGGTGGAGGAGACGCACGTGGATACCGCCAATGGGGCCTTCGGCGGAGCTCCCCATGGGGCCACGAAATGTTGTACTAGGTGGGGAGACGCAAGTGGACACCGCCACTGGGGCCTTCGGAAGAGCTCCCTATGGGGCCACGAAGTGGTGTACTGGGAGGGGGAGACGCACGTTGACACCGCCACTGGCGCCTTAGGTGGAGCTCCCCATGGGGCCACGAAGCGCTGTGCTGGGTGGGGGAGACGCATGTGGACACGGCCACCGGGGCCTTAAGTGGAGCTCTCATGGGGCCACGAAGCGCCGTGCTGGGTGGGTGAGACGACGACGAGGACACGCGCAGGACAGAGGCAGGGATGGGAGGAGGGAGGGAGGGGGTGGAGTAAGGAAGGAAGGAATGACGGATGGAAGGAACACGGGGACCATCTCTTCAAAACGAGAACCCAACACCACCGGAGAGTTGGTAAACAAATAGCCTGGCGAAGGACCCAACCATATGCAAGTACGAAGAGCTCCATTGTACGTCCACGAAACGCTGTACTGGGCGAGGGGGGGCGCATGCGGTCTGCGCCACTGGGACCTTAGGTGGAGTTCCCTATGGGGTCACGAAACGCTGTACGGGTTGGGGAGACGCATGCGGGCTGCGCCACTGGGACCTTCGGTGGAGTTCCCTAAGGGGCCACGAAGCGCAGTACTGGGTGTTGGGGATGCATGCGGGTTGCGTCACTGAGACCTTCGGTGGAGTTCCCTATGGGGCCACGAAGCGCTGTACTGGGTGTGGGAGGTGCATGCGGGCACCCCCGCTAGGGCCTTCGGTGGAGCTTCCTACGGGGCGACGAAACGCTGTGCTTGGTGTGGCGGACGCATGCGAACACCCCCACTGGGGCCTTCGATGGAACTCCCTATGGGGCCACGAGACGCTGCACTGGGTGTGGGGGACGCATGCGGGCACCCCCCCTGGGGCCTTCGGTGAGCACCCTATGGGGCCTCGAAGCGCTGTGCTGGGTGTGGGGGGCGCATGCGGGCACCCCCCCCTGGGGCCCCAGGAGCAGCTCCCTATGGGGCCACGACGCGCTGTACTGGGTGTGGCGGGCGCATGCGGGCTGCGCCACTGGGATTTCATTGAGGCTCTGTATGCGGCCACGGAACACTGTACTGGGTGCGGGGGGCTCATGTGGGCACCGCCACTGGGGCCTTAGGTTGAGGTCCCTATGGGGGCACGAAGCTCTGCACTGGGTGTGGGGGGCGCATGCGGGCACCCCCCCTGGACCTTCGGTGGAGCTCCCTATGATGGGACCACGGACGACGTACTGGGTGTGGCGGCCGCATGCGGGCACACCCCCTTGGGGCCTTCGATGGAACTCCCTATAGGGCCACCAAACGCTGTGCTTGGTGTGGCGGACGCATGCGAGCACCCCCACTGGGGCCTTCGATGGAGTTCCCTATAGGGCCACAAGACGCTGTACTGGGTGTGGCGGGCGCATGCGGGCACCCCCACTGGGGCCTTCGGTGGAGCTCCCTATGGGGCCACGAAGCGCTGTACTGGGTGTGGCGAACGCATGCGGTCACCCCCACTTGGCAGTCGGTGGAGTTCCCTAAGGGGCCACGAAGCGCTGTACTGGGTGCTGGGGACGCATGCGGGTACCCCCACTAGGGCCTTCGGTGGAGCTTCCTACGGGGCGACGAAACGTGTGAGGGGTGTGCCAACGTAAGGGGGGTGACGGGAAGATAGAGGAGGGGGGAGCAGGTGGAGAGGAACACGGGGACCGTCTCTTCAAAACGAGGACCCAGCACCACAGGATTCTTTGGACAAAAATACACAGCGCGCTGCAAACTCCACTAGAGCCCATGGGCACGGATGATGGCACGCGGATGCAGATGCCACCGATGAGCGGGGGAAACCATCATAACGCCACAGAAGCTCTACGACTACACAAGCAGGCGATCAAAGGACGGGCTACACATGATGTCAAAGCACGCCACCAATATTAACTCATTGAGTTGCCCGCGCTATTATCAGCGCGCAGGCGGGCGAAAATTATTCTGGCGAAGGACCCAACCATGTGCAGTTGTGAATATCGCATTGCGGGTGCCGCTTTCGGTGGAGCTCCCTGTGGGGCCACGAAACGCTATGCTGGGTGGGGGTGACGCATGCGGGCGGCACCACTGGGGCCTTCGGTGAAGGCCACTGTGGGGCCACGAAACGCTGTACTGGGCGGGGGTGACGCATGCGGGCGGCACCACTGGGGC